GAAAAAGAGGGGGAAATGCGGAGTATGTTGAGTTTACCTGATTTGTGGTGTTCTTGGGTGACTATGGCAGATTGAGAACCGTGGCTCCTGAATAAAAATGCCTGTAAGTGGAGTGTGATTTTATGCATCCTGGTATTTGAGGGGTTATTGTTGCTTCTGAGAAAACCAAGAGATTGAAGTAGTAAATGATCAAATGCTGCAAAGTTCAGCACATGTGGTACAAGTAACTTTAAATCTTTTGTTATTTACCAGAAAGTGTACAACAGCTTTGATTAAAGATGACCTCCTTGTTCACTCAAGAAATTCGTCTTTCAAAAAGACATGAGAAAATGTAAGTTTTTAAAAAGGATAATCCTGACAGAGAGGTTGTGCTGGTGTCACTGCTGAAACATACATGCTGAGAACACAAAAGTTGAAAGTTTGTTATTTTAACTTTCTGATCCTTGAGATTTTCATAGAGAGAATTTCAGTGTTTAAGAATAACCTACCAACCAAAAAAAGAATAACCAAGAGTAAAGGGTATAAATATGTTTTGTCACCTTAGATTTTGTTACTAGTTGCTAGATAAATTCATCTTTCCTCTCACACTTCCAGGTCCCCCGTTGGTATTTAGTGTACTTCTCTAAATCTCTTACCCATTTCTAGCATCATGTTCCTGTGTAAGTGACCTATATAATCGCAGGCCCCCACATTTGGTTTAAAACTCTAATGTCACCATTTTCAGTCCTTTTGTCCCAAGTCCTAAAAATTGTGTAGCCAGTCCTGCCTTTACATTTTGTATCAGTCTTCTTCCTCTGTCTGTGAGCTTTCCTGCTTTGGTTTTCTTTAATTGATTACCAGACCCTCTTCGCTGGCCTTCGAAAATATTTTTCTTACCGAAAAAAAAACTACTCAGACCTCAGTTTTAGTTGTATGTGTAAGACAATCTGTATGAAACAACATTTCTTCAAAACATTCACAACTATCAGGGAAAGAGTTAAACTTATATGTGATATTGGTGTATTTTTCCATTATTTAAGAGAGTCCATAAATGTATAAAACAAGGATTTGACCAGCAAGACACTTTTGAAGTGTATTATATATCCTAAAGTAGTTTGAAATTTCTGGTAACTTTTTGCATTTCTCTTTAGTTACTGTTTTACCTTCTTATGAGCATGTGCAGTATATATACACATTGCCTCTCACTCATATATCAAACCATCATCTTTCTCTTGGAAAAAGAGGAAAAAATATTTTTATTGCTTCTTCAAACATATGGAAGTTTAGCACAATTCTAAATGTGTAACATGAGATTCAGGGGTACTGAAGTGTTAAGCAGAAGGTTTCATATAGCAAGTTATATCAATGTATGTGTGTGGGGAGGTATATATAACTATGTGTACAAGGAGATATGTATTACAGTTTGCATTTTCACCAAAAATTAAAACATATCTTCAACATTCTAAAATAATTTCCAGAGACCAGAGGCTGAGAAATACAACCATGTACTTATGTCACATACGAAGAATGTTAATAAAAATAAATTAATTTTACCCAGATTGACTTAAAATAGCAATGGCAAAGCTTTTAGAGAGGAGTGCCCAAAACTGCGACCCAAACCCAGTTATTTATCACACAGTGCCAGTATTACTGTTAAGCCTGAATATTGCAATTTCAGTTTAGAAAAAACAACTCATACATTAACATCTTTTGTCTTAAAAGCCCAATAGCACACATGCCATAGATTCGCCACCACTGACTTAAGACTTACTGAACTACCGAAGTTTTTCATTGTCTGATTAGTTGACATAGTAATTAACTTTCAAAACAGGTTAAGTGAGAAGCAATAAAGAAATGAATTTTGTGTGTTGGTCAGGCAATACAATGCTTTCTTCTAACATTTTTTCACTTTAATCTCTACTTCTTTTAGAGTATCACAAAGATTAATGTTACTTCAACAAATGGAAAATAAATTTGGAGATCAAAACACAGAAAAGGCATGTCAGCTGCAAGCAGCTGAGATAGCTTTCAAAAGGAATCTTAGCCTTCTAAAGGTAAGTTTCCATGATGTATTTATCAAGACTTTTTCTCACCTTCTCAACAAGGTATTACATGAATTTTATGATTTTAATTTATATAGTCTTTGGAGTAGTAAGTAGAATTAATGAGACAGTTGGTTTTTTTTTCAGTTGTGGGGATTGAACCCACGGCCTTCACACAGAGCTACATCCCTAGCCCTTTTTTTGTATATTATTTTGAGACAGAATTTTACTAAATCACTAAGTTGCCCAGGCTAGGCTTGAACTTGTAATCCTTCTGCCTCTGCCTCTAAGAGTGCTGGGACTATTGGCATGCTCCACCACACCAGGCAACATCTTATTTTTAAACCCAAATTAGTAAAATAGCACTTATACATATTCTCATTTTAAATGAAAAAAAAATGAAGTTTGCATATGCTAAATACATCCAATCAACTAGAAAATCAATGACTACAGAAGGAACATTAAAGGTAACCTTTGTGGAAGGCATAAAAATAGAAGATGTATGTTTCTACTTTCCATCTTTTATTTGAAAGGAGATCCTGAAAGACCTTAAAGTGCCTGTAATATGTTTACATCCAACACAAAACTATTAAGCATTATAAAAACAAAACAATTTGATTTTTCCTTACTGGAGCTACAGTCAACACACAGAATTACTATCTATGATAACAGATTTCCCAGATCCCCTTGGATGGTTATAGAGTAGGTGGTCAAAGTCTATGATTACGCAGGGCCTCACCATTTGGCCAATGTGCCCATTTGGAGTAAAATCATATGTGTAACATTTTTGGCTGCTTGCTATACTTTGCTTCTTCCAGAATTGTGTGGCTTCATCCATAATTAAAACCCTAAAGTTTGCTTCCATTCAAGCTTCCAAGAGATCCTATGACTAAAACATTTGGTAGTAAGACTATATTATTTAAGTTATAAAGAAGTGTTTTCAGTTTTTTATTGTTAAATATTTTCATCGATAGGCATGATACAGTTATCTTCTATCCTCACTAGAGGATAAAGGAAGAGGAAAATTCAGTTATCTTCTCAGCTTCTGGCAGTTTGATCCACAGTAATTTAAGTCACAGCCATAGTGCTACCAAAGCATTCTATATTGCCATATGTCTTACTTGCCCAATGGTGTTAGCAATATTTATTTTTAAATGGAAATATATAGGATATTTTGGAATTTGCTGTGAAAAGTTAGCAAAACTAAATTAGAAGGCTTGATTGCTACCTGCCTGTAGCACATGATGTAAGTGTTGGTTTTCAAGTGTTTTCTTTTTAAGGAGCATTTAATAAATGCCCAAAGGCTGAAAGTGGAGACAACAAAATAAGTACAGTATAAATCAGACTTCTTGATCTGAAAGCATTTATAGGCTTAGTTGATGTTAAAAGGCTATAAATTCTCTGATACCAAGAACTCTGAGACTTGATGTGGTCAAACACTAAATTACATGGAAGAGATTTGGAACTATAGGGAATGAAAGTAAAAGACTGTATAAAAGAGTGTATTCTAAGAGGTCTCACAGAAGAAGCTAAGCGTCCACTATGTTTCAGTAGGCACAAAGCCAAATAGTCTATTACATTTTTTAAAAATAGCGCTACGACCAGAAAAATGAATGACCCTATTGCATTCATGGGACTGTGAGCTATTTAGTTTGGAAATGAGGTTGGATATAGGTTGTGAAACTAAAGAATTTGAGACTTGGTGTGTAGAGCTAATATAATACTAAAAGTAAGTGAAAGGAAAATATGTTTATGTAATAAATATATGAATGGATGTTTAAGAAAGATTCATTTACTGTTTAGATGCAAAATGTTTTAAAGAATGGAGAAACTGTTAGGTGCATACACCTATAATCCTAGCACTTGGGAGGCTGAGGCAGGAGGATAAACATGAGTTTGAGGGCAGCCTGGACTACATAGTGAATTCAAGGCTGGCCTGAACTACATAGCAAGACCTGGTCTTAAAAAAACAAGAATAAAGAAACTAGAGTTAAGAGGGGTAGCGAAAAAATTGCCATACAGAGACAGTCCCCAGCTTAGGATAATTTACCTTACAACCTTTCGACTTTACAGTGATGCAAAACTGATATGCATTCAGTAGATCCATATTTGGAAGTGTGGTCTTTTCTGCCTAACAGTATGCGTTTAGCTACTTTCTTGAGATGCTGAGCAATGGCAGCAAGCAGCAGCTCCCAGTCGGCCGTACCACTACAGAGAACAGCTGTACTCTGCAGTGTGTGTTGTTGCTAAGCTAAGGTTTTAAATAGGTTCGGTGTACTTACACATTTTGACTTACAATATTTTCTAATTTTGATAGATTTATGGGATGTAACCTCATCGGAAGTCGAGGAGCATCTGTGTATAAAGAAGATAATGAATCTGTTTTCATACTTTGGAAAAATTTCAATTTGATATAATAATTTCCTTGATTATCAAAGTAACATAATCCCACCATAAAAGTGAAAAGATAAAGATCTAAGATGATATTTCTGTGTCAGCCATCTTGGAGTACATTTTTGTGTATTTCTTTTTAGTCCTTGTATAACTTTATTGAGCACCTGTTGTATCACAGATACAGTCCTTGTTGCTTGAAGTGATCTCTTCCCTGCTTTTTGTTTGTTTTCTGTGAATGATTATATATGCAGTTTTTCATTCTGCTCTTCCTCATTTTTTTAAACTTTGGAAGTAATGTTAGTGGCTCTGCCGTGGATATCATTATGGAAGTAAAAGAAATAGGACTTGAATTCAGAATTTTGAATTGGGTGGGGTGTGCTAGGTATTGGACTTCGGGTCTCCCACATGCTAAACATACTCTCTACCGCTGAGCTACTTCTAGTTCTAAGAAGAGACTTTAAATGGCATCTATATGATATTAGATCTAAAGGTTTAAATTTTGTAGAATTAAGACATTGTATCAAAGATAGGTAGAAATGGGCTTGCTTTGGTCTAAGACCCTACGCTTTCAGCCTTTTCTTGCTGCCTAGCTGTTGTTCCAAGAACTTTGAAAAAAATTAATCTGGGCTAATTCTTTAACATGAGGATACCACATGGTAACTATTCCTAATACCTGTGGTCAAAAATAGATTAAGTTACATCGAGGGTAGGTACTTCGGAATTACTGCTCACACTTTATAAAATTAGTTCCATTAAAACTTGCAGTACAATACTAAGGATACGTTTTTACCAGCCATTTTTTTTATTTGTTTAGACCTTCCAAACACTATAATAAATATTAAACACTTTACTTTTTTTTAACCAGCAGTCAAACTCAGGACCTCACACTTGCCAGGCAGGTGCTATGCCTCTTTTTAAAAAATAGAGTATTAGTATATTATATGATTATATCTTTATAAGACCAAATTGAGTTAAATCTTGTGTACATAGCCGGAAAATACAAAAGATCAGATTCACATTAGCAGTAAAATTCTAAGATATCTGAGAAGCTCTTAAGGTTTATGTATGATACTGTAAAGACATTTATTACACTGAAATGTGACATGTAAAATGAAACTTAAAAGGAGACATGCCTTAAATCTGAGCACAGACACTGTTGTTTTTCTAAAATCACTTCTCCCAAAGTTACTTACATACTTTTTAAAAGTCTCAGTAGAATTTTCATAGAAAGTAATAAAATTTATGTGGAAAAATAAGTGACAATAACAGATATTTTCTTTTTTTTGGCAGTAAGGGGTCTTTGCCTGAGGTATATCCACAACCCGTTTTTATTTTTTATTTTGGTAAGCGGATTTTTTATTTTTTTTGTACTGGGAATCGAACTCATGACCTTATGCTTGCCAGGCAGGTGCTGTGCCACTGAGCTATATCCCAACCATGTGCTTGCCAGGCAGGTGCTGTGCCCCTGAGCTATATCCCCAGCCCTAGTTTTTATTTTGGAAACAGGGTCTTCAGATTCTGTGTTACTCAGCCTAGGTATGAATTTACAGTCCTCCTGCCTCAGCCTCCCAGAGTGCTAGGATTGTAGACATGCCCGCACCATGCCTAACTCATGAAGTTTTTGAAAAAACGAGTAATAAGGAAGTGGCTACTCCCATCAAATATTTGACTATATTAATAAACGGCTATGAATATAAGTGGGGAAGAAATGTCATAGTCAGGCTTCAGTCAAGAAATATAAAAGATAGTGAACTTGCTGGGGATGTAGCTTAGTAAGATAGTTTCCTAGCATGCATGAGACCCTAGGTTTGACACCCCCCCCCCGCCAGCACTACCTAAAAAAAAACCACAGTTCGAATAATTTTTTTCCCGATTAGTATGAAGTGCAATTTATCTGCCTTTAAAAGACATAAACATAATTCATATGGGTTTGGTGGTGATAGGATTTTCTTTTTATAAATATTTCTACAATGTAAACACTGATCTATCTCCCTTTTCACCTCCTGGAAAACTGTTTTGCCCAAAAAGGCAATTCTGTGGTAACATCATCTTATGGAGAAAACAGACATATATTCTCTAAGCAGAGAAAGAATAGGGAAATGCTGCCATGGGTGAGTGATGTGAATGCCTTTGTGGGGCAGATGACCATTAAAGAACCTTAAACTGCCACCCAGGATAGCCAGGGATGTAAGTGTTTTCACTAACTGCTCCTAACAAAGACAGATGAAATATACTTAATATTATGTGAAAAAGAATGCTTACTAAGGCTCAAATTGTTTCATATGTTTGCTATAAAACTTCCCTCACTGAACATTCACAGTTCCTTGTGTATTTTACACTTAAGTATATTTAAGTCAAATACTTGCTGTATTCTGAACATTCAGTAGCACAGAAGTGAATGCTTCAGGCAGTGATGGCAAACTTTGTAAAGATGAGCGCCCAGACTGCAACCTAAAACCCATGTATTTATCACAAAGTGCTTGCACTGCAGTTAAACCTGAATTGTTTTCACTTAGAAAACACAATTCATACGTTAACATCTTTTGTCTTAAAAGAAAAACGACTAACACATGTGCCGTAGGTTTACCACCACCGGCTAGGGTATTAACAATATAGATCTAGAGGCCCCATCATGTTCAGGCTCAGTGTTTTAGGGAAGAACAGTGTCATAATGGGTGGAGGCCTCTCCTGGAATATGGACAATGATTAATGATAATTGCATAGATATACTTGTTAGAGGTGGCAAAAAGTAACTCAAATATTTTTTACTCTCATTTGGTGATTGATATATGAAGACAATCTTCCCCTCAACAAATACTTGGTTACACTGAGTTATAGTTCTCAAGTTAAAAGGTGTGCTAAATACTTGATTCTCTCCTTATATTGACTTTATTTTTTCCGTTGGTTGGTTGGTTGGCTTTGTTTTTATTTTTCTTCCATGCTGGGGACGGAACCCAGAGTCTCACACGTTGTAGGTACATGCTGTGCCACTGAGCTGTACCTTTGACTCTATAGCAATGGTAGTGAACCTGTGGCACATGTGATACTGTATTTTTCTTTTAAGACAAAAGATGTTAATGTATGAGTTGTTTTTTTTCTAAAGGAAAACCTCAGTATTCAGGTTTAATTACAGTGTTGCACTTTGCAATAAATAAGTGGGTTTGGGGTTTCAGTTTGGGCACTTGTCTGTAAAAGCTTCAATATCAGTACCCTATAGTTTTTTAAAAAATAGGTTGATTCTCTAGCATTCTCTAGAGATGGACCAATGAGCTCCTGCATTGTTTTCAGTTTACCTGGAATTTGAAATGTTTCAATCTTTTACAGTTTTTTACTCTTACTTGTATTCAAATTGTCCCATTTTTATCAAGTAGAAGCTTTTTCAAGTTAGTCCTAAGTGTCTTCAACATGATCCTCACAGTCTTTGATAGTTTCCTTTCTTTCTGTTGAGTTCTTCAAGGCTCATTGGGTACATTTGGTGTCCAGACTTAGAATCGGTCATTTCTCTCTTTCCTTTCTTTCACCAGAAAATGTATTTAGAGCTCTGGGAACATAGAACTATTTTTTGCCATTTCTTTTGATTTTTTAAGAATAAAATATGAACTCCTCTTAGTACTCTCAATTTCATTATAGGATTGCAAAGTTCTTCACTTAAAACCATTGATCTTGTGTGTGTAACTTCTACCAAAAATATCAGTTCCCAAAGGATTGTCCAATACCAACATATAGAGTAATTCCACCTTACCAGTGTGAAACACATTCCAAGACAGGACCCTAGTGAAGACCTAAAGCTGCAGATAATGCCAAATCCTATTTATGTTTATTTATTTATGTACATACGAACCTGTATTAAAGCTTAATTTGTAAATTAGGAGCAATATTTATGTTACAATAACTCCTAGCATAGAACAATGATAGTATATTGTAATACAAGTGAACGTGTCGCTCTCTTAAAATACTTTATTGTCCCATGCTTGTACTTACGCTGTGTGTAGTGAGATGAAGTGAAGTGGTATAGACATTGTGACATACTAGTAGGTTGCAACATAAGGATTACTTGGACACATGTAATACTGTGACTATCTCAGAACCTAGCCAACAATTCAATGACTAATGCACAGGTAGCATACAGTGAATGAAAGATGAACCATTTCCTAGGCAGGACAGAGTGAGATGTCACAAGATTTCATCATGCTACTCAGAATAGCAAGCAAATTTATGAATTGTTTATTTCTAAATTTTTTGTTCCTCTCTCATTTTCTCCTCCCTCCATCCCCTTTTTGGTGCTAGGGATTGAACAGTGCTGGGCACATGCTCTACTACTGAGCTACATCTTCAGCCCTAGGATTTTTCTACTTAACTGTTTTTAGGCCACAGATAACCATGGGTAACGGGCTTCAGAAAGCAAAACCACAGTTTAGGGGGAAGTATAGTACTTTATTCTGTGATACAGACTTCCCTCCCATCAGCAGTGTGATTATTGGGACTGGCTTTTGAGTAAGATACCTTTTTTTTTTTCGGCACCAGGAGTCAAACTCACGACATTGCGCTTGCCAGGCAGGCGCTGTGCCGCTGAGCTAAATCCCCAGCCCCAGAAATATACCTTTATAGCCTTTTTTCCCTTAGGCTATATCTCCCTAAGAATGTTCAATAAGTACTACGTTCTAAGACCTCTTCATGTTTATGCCTCCCAACTATTAGATTTCTATCATTTGCTTTTCAATTGCTGTTTAATTTGTTCTATCATTATACAAAATTTTAAATGGTATAATGACAAATCTATAAAACAGAATAACAAGATATAATCAGGCAAGTCTAGCCTTTCTTGCCCTGCTCTTTTTTCCTTTCCCTCCTCGAAGCTTGGTGGGGTTGTTTGGTTGTTTCCAGTTTTTTTTGTATCATAGGAAATTGACAGCCTAGTTCTTTATTCATTTAATGACTCTCTAAGAGTGAACTTGAACTTTGTTAGATTCTTGGATACATAAGGGTTATGTTAGACCTTCTAGCAGAGTGTCTACTAATCAAAGGGGAGGTTCTTGTATGGAAGGACCGGGATATAACTTTTTACACAATGCTGGGATTAAATTGCTGAGGTGTTTGTATTTACCAGACAGGCTGAGGAATTCACACTTTCATCCTCTATGTACTGAGTATCAATTTTTTGAGTCTAGAGAAGAACATACATGCAGTAGTTCTTTCAAACAATTAATCCCATAATAGATATGAAGTACAATGAGATATATCCTTGGTGTGAGTCAGAATAACCCCTCCTTAAGTCCTTACTGAATGAATATAGTTATAAGGCAGTAGCACTAGAAATGATTGCTGTTTTTTTGTTTTGGAGGGGTTTTTTTTGGTACTGGGAATTGAAACCGTGATCTCGCACTTGCCAGGCAGGCACTGTGCCACTGAGTGTATCCCAGACCTCATAGCACTAGAAATGAAAAGGAAATGCTAGGACAGGTATCCTAAATGAACAATCTAGAAAACTGAAATTTTAACTGACAGGGAATAAGGAGAGTTGAAGAAAGAAGATACAGCATAGGTATCTGGGTGAATAGGATTCCTACAATGATTCACTTAGTCCATCCAGTTAGAAGATGAGCCTAGTTTTATGATTGAGAAATAAAGGTTAGGAAGAAAGGTTCGTTAACCCTCAACAGTAATAGTTAAAGCTAGGTAAGGGACAAGTCTGAAAGGAGATAAAGTAAAAATAGGAAAACAGATGTCACAGATCTTAACAAAGCCCACACTTGGAAAGAAAAGCGAGCTAACTAAAGAGAAGAACAGGAGAGGTACTACACAAAACATCTACGAAGTGACAGCGCTGATGCTAAGGAAGTTCTTCAGAGCTGTGGCAATCTTGGGGCAAAGTGTTACAGAAATGACAGTCAAATGTCTCACCATCAGCCTGCTTTCCCAAGCCACATGTCCCTGCCTGGATATGCTGCTTTTGTTGGCAAATCTGCTCTTCTATAGGAGACATTTTTCAGTGTCTTTTTATTTCCTGGTCTTTAAGAAAAACAGGATGTTTTCTTCAGTGCTCGTGATACCTAGAGCTGCCATAAACAATAACTTTGTACTATTCTTAGACTGTTAGCTTAATTGAAGGTATAATTCTTCTCTTCTCATATTTGTGTGATTTTTGAAAGCAAAAACTAATATTTCCAGGACCTTGGAAAATCAATATAACCACAGAAAAATTAGGCTTCTGTGTCTGTTGCGGCGTTGGCATCAAATGCTTTTTAGCATGTGTCTTAGCTGTAAACTTCTGGTGTGGGATAGACATGCTAATAGATCCATTTTTCATCCCTAAATTGACGTGTTCTTTTCCTTCAAATCACCTTCCTCCAGACAGCAGGTGCATTAATGGTTGTGCAACTTTGGGGAGTCCCTTTAGGGAATTTCCTGTTTTTCCCTTTTACATTTCACACCCATTCCTTGCTCCTGCCGCTACCATCTGCTGTCTTTTTTCTCCTGTTCAGCACTGGCTTCTTCACACCCCACTCCCACGCCCTTTTCCATCTCTCTCCGTCTGTCCAACAGCCCTCTGCTTAGATTGCTCCAATGTGTGTATATGGATCAAGAGAACTTTCTCTTTTCTGTCAATTTACTAAGCTCAGAGGAGAAACAAAATTTATATTGCTTTGGGCCAAGCCCCTGTGAACTTGGTGAAACATAATAAGTGGGCAAAAGACAACACGGATACTGATTTGGGAGGCAGTTCTTAAATGGGGCTCAAGTGTTCGTACAGAAATTTACAGAATCCTACATTTCTGAGCATGGACCACGCATGTTTCAAGGTAAAAAATTATACCTTACGCTTATGGTGTTTTTACAACCATAAGAGAAAATACGTGCATCTAAAAGTGAAACTACAAATTAAAACATAGGCTGAATGATACTATCCAGCAATAAAACTTAGCATTAAAAATAACTTAGAAATTTAGCCCTAAAAATTTAGTTTAGTGAAAAGATTCCTGTCATAGAATACTTCTTTTAAATAAGTATAAAACTTTAAGGTGGAATGTTGAACAAATGAATGTGTGCCATCAGTATACCATTTGCATCATTTGGAGAGACTAGAACTCTCTACTTCAGGGTTAGCAATGTAGGGCTGAGTACCTACATGTTTTTGTATCTGAATACAGTACTTGATTTTATCCATCTGGTTGTTTTGAGGTAATTTTAAAGCTGGGTTAATGCTCTGAGCATCTTTAAATGAGGCTCTTTTTGCAGGAATTTCTGGTGTTTGCCAGCAATTAAGAGTGAAGAGGCAGAACATGGAAGTACCATCACCTTTCTATTTTAAAGTTAGACACCCGCTTCTGTAGAAGTGGATTAATTGAGCTATAGGCAGTTCTCCCACCTTAGTGTCCTTCCATCATTTCAGAGAAAACATGGAGAGAAGCTGAGGTGAAAGATTGGGACACAGATACCGGTAGCACAGGTATCATTTGTAATCTATAAATACACTTTGATTTTGAAATGTTTCTGTCTGTTACAGGATATAGAAGCAGCTGAAAAGTCTCTGCAGAGCAAGATTTGCTCACATTTACCACTGGAGATAGTTTCTCTTGAGGTGAGACTCTGAAGGAACAAATGTAATTAAATAGACCCTAACCTATTAGTGGTGCATTATGACTTAAATACTGGTCATATGCTTGTATTTCCCAGATTGACTTATTCAGTAAAATAAACAAGATGTGTTGGGTTTATCTTGACTTTTTTTTTTTTTTTGGTTCTGGAGATGAAACCCAGGAGTGCTAAGCTACATTCTCAAAGCATTTTTTTGTCTTAAATTTTAGTCAGGGTCTCCCCTAAGTTGCCCAGGCCGGGCTTGAACTTGAAGTTCTCTTACTTAAGCCTTCCATGTACCTAGGGTTATTGTGCCCAGCTCTGACTGATCTTTTTATATGTCCATAGGTACCATGTCATAAACAGTGAGTAATTAGTGTCTTGAAAAAAGTTTATCTAGTGATAATTTTATGACATGCTATTTTTTCTCATTACAGCAATAACTGTCTTCTTAAACGTAACAATGTACTTTAAGTCTTAAGGTGACAGCATGTCCAAAGTGCTTTCCCTCTTAGAATTGTTACAAGTAGCACTCAGTCCCTTCACAAATTGTAACTAGTTATTTAAATGCATAGTATCAAACAATATAGTGTGACTTTTGTCTTTTTTATTTAGCTGAGTTCTAGAACAGATTGGGATACTGGCTGGCAAAAATAAACCATATTTGGTATATGTGTCTGTAATGAGTGGGAATTTTACTACATACAGAGTAGGTTTTTTTTATATCTTAATGACCTTTTTTCAAATACAATTTTGCTTAATGCCCTGCTCTATATATATGAGTAGACTCAAAACTAAAGGCTAGGAATTTGCCCCTCAATTTTCTGTGTCTTCTAAGATAGGAAGAAAAGGCAGTGATTGAAGACAGCTGTGGCTTGCTCATGTCATCGTCTTTGTTCAGTCTCCGGCCCCTTACTCTGGCACGTAAAGGGGCCACACAGTAGGGGTCAGCCCAGCTGTGAATAGTGGAAAAACTCCCAGCCAGGCCTCCAAGGTATTTTTCTTAACTAGTCTTGCGTAGCAGGATGACCTGTATTTTAAGTAGATTAGGCTATCTCTCAGACCACATGCGTAGATAGACATTTAGAATCCTTTACCATTTCAACTGTCAAACTGCTGTACCTTTTTTTGTTGGTTGGTTGGTTGGTTCCATTTCAACTGTCAAACTGCTGTACCTTTTTTTGTTGATTGGTTGGTTGGTTGGTTTGAGACGGTCTCACGCTGTAGTTCAGGCTAGCCTTATATTCACTATGTAGCCCAAGCTGGCCTTAAACTTGTGGCAGTCCAAGTGCTGGAATTACAGGCATGCGCCACCACACCCAGCTTGCTGTATCTTTTAAATTCCCAGGGAGTAATTAGGTGTTCTTAATGCTATGGAACTCATTGGCTGAATTTCCCAAATGGGATTGATAGTGTTGACATAATATAAAGTGCTGTCCTGTAACCCAGAATTTTGGCAGTATACTTCTCTTTGACCACCTTAGGGCAGTCACCCGAAGAACTCATTAAAGCTCCTACCTAAGGCATGGTGTCACTGCATGAACTTTTATAGCTTACAGACCACTAGAGTCAGATCAGTAGTAAGACAGTACCTTACATTCCAAGCTATTTCTACTAAAAATGTTTATATTATACTGATAGTTTCTTATCACATAAAGAACTTTGAGAAAAATGAGTTTGTCCAATCAAGTTTTGGTTTTAGTTTTTGGTTTTTGTGTTTTTGAGTTGTTCTTTTTTTTTTTTTTTTTTTTTTTTGAGATAGGGTCTCACTGTGTAGTTCAGGCTGGTCATGAACTTACTGTGTAGCCCAGGCTGTCCTCAAACTCAAACAGTGATCCTCCTGCCTCAGCTTCGCAAGTACTGGGATTATAGACATGTGCCACCATGCCCAGCCTATCAAGTATTCTTTTAAAAGATATAGTGGATACATATTTTGTACATTCCTAAGGGTCCTCTGCAGGATTGGTTAGATTTCCTTTCCTAGTCTCACCCCACATCAAATCACTGTATATTAGTTCTGAAGAATTTATGTCTCATCATTTTATTGTAATAATTTCAATGTGTGTAACCATTTGGTAGAGAATCTGGGACATTAAAAATATTTAATAATTTATAAATCATGATACCACTGGCAGTGATCACAAGGTTGGCCACAAGAGGGCGTTTAAAATCACAATAAAATTCTAAAACCTGTAATTCTGCCAGGCACTGGTTTTACTGAGAAATTGAGAATTAACACTAGTAAGTAGCCAGATTTTTTTTTCTAAAATTAACATAAAATATTCTGTAGAGGAAATGCATTCTACATATATGTGTGTGTATGTGTGTATACATGCACACACACACACTTAAGTGAATAAACATTTAGACTATTATGAAGAGCCAAGTTCAATTGCTTGATACGCTTTTTTACTTTTGGATTTTTTTTTTTCAGACTCGTTACTGGGCATCAGTAGAAGAATATATTCCCAAATGGGAACAGTTTCTTTTAGGACAAGCACCATATCCTATGGGTGTTGAAAATCAAAAAGAAGCAGAAAACACCGTTCTAAATGAGGCGTAGTGATATCATCTTCACAGGCTTTGCCGCTGAAAAAACCTCCTTAATGAAGTTCATTTTTAAAGAGCTTGTAGGTAATTGCAGGAACTATAGGAATTGAATGTTGATACTGTTTCATTACCTCTAAATGACAATGAAGATACGAGAATGTATTGACAAGTTTCTGATTATCCCTACTACTCAGGATCATCAAGTTGCTTGCTACCAAACCCATGGGAACTGTTAAAAACAAATGTTAAAGTGTTATTAAATAAATTATTAGATCAGTATATGTGTTGTTTAAAATATTTCATCATTATCATCTAAAAATGTTAATTCAGATTTTAAGAATCCTTACCTATTTTATTATGGGGACAAGGTGCAGGGTCTCAGTCATTATGTGCTTTCCATTACAGTTTCTTTTAACAAATGAAAAGACAGTGACACTTAGCTGCTTTAATATACAGTATAAGTCCTTACCAAAAGATAGATTCCTAGGATTTTGTGCCTCACAGATAATCAAACCTCTGAGAGTTCTAAAGATGGAAAGACCAGAACTACAAAGCATTCGTAAGTGGCTGGTTTTGCAAAAGGAGACCTATTAGAGCCAGGAATGGTCCTCGGACATTAAGGCTTGCCACCCTGTGAATGCACATAGCCCCCCCCATCTTTTCATCTTTAAACATGCTCTTCCCTCTTCCTTCTGTTTTCCATTATTTCTGAAAAAAACTGACAGCATTGAGTCACAACCCTGAACAATTTTAAGATTCCTCAGTCCACCACTGAGGAAAAAAAGTGATAAATTTTCTAATTTACAGAGCCAGCCTCTACTATAAAAGTATTTCTGTGCTATATTACAATGAATTGTTTCAAATTGCAAACTGGTGTTTTTAAGAGAAGACAATAGGCCAAACTAAAAGATAAAATACCACTACCACAAACAGAAACTATCTTGAAATGTCCACTGTGGTGGTAAATTGCTTTAAACGACCATCTTGGAAATACCCTGTCTAGTGGGTGTTGGTGTGGGTAACAATAGTGTTGTTTTCATAATATGTGCTGGCAGATTAGCACACTTCTCTACAGTGTTAACAGTTGTAATTAAGAAATAAACAACACAAAGTGTCAGTCCGATGACAATCTCATCCATAGTGTCACAATAAAAAATGTCACAAAATATTAGAACTGTTACATAACTATAAAAAGTATCAGCTTAAAAGCCAAGAGCCTTTTTAAAAAAGAAGACCACAAGGAAAAAATAGGAAAACTGATGTAGCGGACAGAAAAATTTTATACCTTCTTAAGAATGCTCTGTCATGAAAATAAATTGATAATTTTTTTTTGTGTTACATTACAGTTTGGTTTCTAGCCATCCAGTTGATAAGGCAGGAGAATGCGGGCTTTTTTAGCAGCTTTGAATTGGTAAACAGATTTAGATGTAGTAGAAAGGAACATGAGGAAGATGGTTTTTTTTTTTTTTAACATCCAATCTTTCTCAGCATATGCACATAAGAAGGTGAATGAAGCAATGTGAAACTTATTTCTCTTTAGTCAAGTGAAAAAAAGGCTAAACATTTGTTAGCTGGTAAAATATTGTGTCAAGCAAGTAGGCACATTCCAAAATTAAACAGTGGTTGATACGTTAACGTCCTCAAATATTTGAGCATACACTTCCTTTCAGATCTGTAAATTAAATCACCAGTAGGTTGGATTAAAATACAAAATGAATGGCAACTAACCACCTTAGAAAAGGTTTGGATTTTTTCTCCCCTAAATTGGCTAACTTGCTGTTTTTGTTGTTTTCTTTTAAGTATAAGTCTAATATACTCTGGGTTATAATTTAAGGCGGAAGTGAAAGTATTTTCAGGTTTCAGCTGTACCATCTTTCCTATTTTAGTTAATATTTAAAGACCTCCTGGAAATGACTTTATTCCTGGTCCCACAGAGCTCTCCTGCCCAACCCTGCCTTGTAGACAGTAGCAGATTGCAACACATGGTGTCTGTTTCAAAAAAAAAAATCCCATAGGGACCTGAATAGCCCATTAAGGGGTTTATATTCCTCATGAGTTTTATATGAATTCCATTGGAATTACATTCCAATTAATTTTATGTGAGTTTCCAAACATTTCCTGGGAGGAATAACATATAAAGTATATTTTTTTCTACCATTAGTAGAAATCAGAAGAAAAAAGAAATACCATCTAGTCATACCTTCTGCTCCAAATCAGTGTAACTACCATGCTGCATTGGATCCACTCGCTATCTGCCATGAAAACTATGAATTTGGGTTTTTATAACAATTATAGAGCTTTCAAAATAAAAATCATTCAGAGATTTTTTTTCCCAAATTATTTCTTGGATTGTTTTGACTGCATAAATATTCAAAGCTCATTTTCTTCTGAAACTCTTGTAGTCTATGAAATTATTAAACTATAAAATGCTGAAGATCAGAAGACACTTCCATGTTCTTCCAAACTTCAAAATTGTAAATTTTAAGTGGTAAGGAATACTCTGGAAACCAGACATCTGGTCTTTCTTGTGCAGAGGGAACAGCGTGAATGGACGTCACATGGACACAGTTTTTCTTTCCATTTTATTTTGTCGACTTACGGCTTAGATGAGGATGATGATCTGTAACTTCCTTTATACTTTTGATGTTTTTACATCATTCACCTTTTTTAATTCAAAAACGAATAAACTGAATATGTAGGCATATTTATTTTCGAATATAAATTAAACATTTAGAGATTATTTTTGTGTGAGAGAGAATGGGAGTGTGAGAGGCAGAAAGAGGAGCAGGTTTTGACATGACCAATTTCAGAGGAAGATACCAGGCTCTAAGTCCCACGGTGAGCTAGGTTTGAGTGCATAAAATTTAATGGAAAAGGCCAATGAATTTGGTTATCTACAAAATATATTTTCCATTTATTAATTCTTTGTATCCTAACCCAGTTAACAACTTTCTGTGTTTTTTTAAGGAAATCAGTTACTGAAAACAAAACAATTTTTAATCTGTGGAATCTGCCTTTTCAAGATTTGCTCTACACAGTTGTTGCATATTTTTAAAACCATCTTCTCCGTTCTTCAACCATCATCTGCTTTTAAACTCTTCCACTTTAGTTAGGGTACTGAGACGTCACTCTTTGAGCGTTGTGAACCAGAACCTGTGCTTGGTAACAACCAGGGGATGGCTGCCTGCAGGAAAGGGTCTAGAGAAGAGGGAGGTGACAAGCAAAGAGATTACTTGAGAATATTTCAGGCTGGAACAAAGGGCTCCATCCACCTCCCATGTTTTTGTTTCTCTTATAATTTAGAAGTTAATTTGTCTACATAGGAAATTTAATTCCCATTACTAATAAAAGACTGTTTAGAGTTTCCTGAGACAAACATGGGGACATGTCAAACTTCAGCAATTAAAGGAGAGGATTGATTTGTGGATTTGACACTTAGTATTGTGCTTGCCCTTTCTAAATGGAACTGAGATTATATCCTTACTAAAATCCAAGAAAAGGAAAAAGAATCCAACAAAGCCAGAGGCACAGAATGCTTCCGGACATCATCTTACCATGCAGGGTCAAGTTTCCCTGCTTTCTCCTAAGTTACAGCAGTGCTTTAAAATTCTTGTGGTTTTTAAAAACTCAAAATTCATTTCTCGGACCAAGACAGAGACAGAAATGCTGTGAACATAGACTGTGTACACTAAAATAGTGTTGAGAGACAACCATAACATGTACTTGTTTTAGAATGTGACGATTTGATGTGTTTCTTTTTTATGATGATTGGTCATTTAAGCTCCAAAGTTGAAGTATTTTTTTTAATATGCTTCCCTAAGGTTAAGTTTCAATGTAGAAATTTTTTGATATTTTACCCAATACCACTTTAGTGATAATATAGTCAAAGGGAAACAAAATGCTGTTTATATATTTTGCCTAGTACATTTCTATTTTCTTTTATCTCCCAAAATTAAATAATAACAACAACAGCAATGCAGTACAGGGGATTGAACCCAGAACCTTTGCACTGAGCTTTGCTGTGTAGCAGGCACAGTTCTAAGTACCAAAAATACAGCAAGGAATAATAAAACAAAGAATAAATCCACATTCGCGTGGAATTTGGTCAGGCAGAGGCAGCAGACGGAAGGGACTGAAGGTAAAGAGGACAACAACAACAAAAATATGTGGTATATTAGGTGGTGAGAAAGAGTCATGCAGTATAAGCATCCAAAATACCAATGCAAGAAAACAAAGCAGGCTTCGTCGTCATCCTCATCGCTCAGATGTTACAGTTAGAGCAGAACCCTTTTTTCCTTTTCAGTGATCTGGAATTGAGGCTTCTCAGTGAGACAAAACTTCCACAGCTACTAGTTTGGAAGCTTTATAATGAATAATTTTATGATAAAGAAAACAAAAGTAAATTCCCACTATTCTGATACCTGCTACAAGTTGGACAAAGCCTGGAGACATAAAACTAAGTGAAATAAGCTCAACACCAAGGAACTCATACTGTGACTCTCACGTACCTAGAATAATCAAATTCATAGAGGTCAGAAAATAAAATTGTGGTTGAACTCTGTGGAAGAGCACAGAGTTTCAGTTAGGGAACACACAAAATCTCAAGATAGATGAAGAAAGGGATACACATGATGTCAACATGTGTCCTGTCACTACAACATGTTGAGAAGTTATTAAAATGGCAAATGTTATGCTATATACCATAACCACAATAAAAAGTTCCTTATGAAACTAACTTGAACATATCCATGATATAAACTGCTTGGTTTAAATCTTGTTATTGGTGATAAATACATACAAACAAGGTTAATTCCTTCTAACAAGTCAGTGACATCATACATATGATTGTGGTTCTTCCTATAAGATTACAGTAGAACAGTTTCTGTCCTTTTTCAATTGCTGGGACAAAATATTTGACATAGAAATTTACAGAAGCAGAGGTTATTCACGGTTTCAGAGGATTCAGTCTATGCTCACTGGTTCCAAGGCAGAAACATCACAGCTGAGGAAGGCTGCTCAACCCTGGCATGGCAGCCAGGAAGCAGAGAGCAGGGGAAGAGCCAGAGAGCAAGGGGCCAGGGACCAGTCATCATCCTCAGGGTCATGGCCTTGAGCCACACAGACTCACCCAAAAATGTGCTTAACTATTCTAGACCTCTCTTCACCCAATCAACTTGACAGTCAAGGCTGTCGTAGGAGCCAAACACTTCCTGTCGCCTCATACCAACTATACTGTCTTTCATGCTGTTACTTCAGAGTGTTTGTCTACTTACTTAGAA